AACTCATTTTGTAAATATATGAAATAAAAAATTAATGATAAAATAAACTCAAATTAAATGAGTTTGGCCATACAACTTGTCCCAATAAAATAATTGTAATTTCATTAATTATATGCATTGGACTTAACAAGATCCCTCATAAAACATTCCAAAACTCGGTCCAAGCCCACTTCAATCAATTAGGGCAGCCCTTCATCTTCTTCCTTAAACTTCTTTCCCCAACTCTGCTGTTTTCTTTCTTCCAACCTAGAAGCAGAAATCCAAAAGCATAGACAGATGCAAGGCCAAATAACTACATCTCCATAGACGAAATTCGGTACGGCTAGAAGAAAGACTCCACCTTCCGTCGTCTTCTCCATTTTGCTGCCGTGTCCAATTACCAAACCAAGGATCCGATCCATATCTCGTGTCGGTATCCATGTCATGTCGTGTCGACACGGATACTTCTCCATTTTGGAGAGTTCGAGCAACATAGCATTATATTAATCACTGTACTTTTCATATTGGAACTACATTTAAATCGTTTGGTGCTTCACGAACGATTTCAATATCGTTAGTAGATTGAGTGCATTTTTGTATTAAAACGACATTAATACTTTATGTATCACATGAACGAAATGTATGTCGTTGTTAGATTGAATATGCACAATATCAACAACCTGGACATGTACAATATATAATCTTGAAAGTTATAAAAGGCCACAAAAATAAGTACATTTAGCTCCCGTTTGGCCCCTATTAATTTCTATTCCATTACATTTTATTTTTCTCTCTCATATTTTCAACCACACAATCTTCCATAAAATAATATTACACATAAACCAATAACTTTTCATTCTTTTTCAACTACTCATTTTTTTAAAAAAAAATACTATTCCAACCATTTTCATTACCACAAAATGGGGGCCAAACGAGGAGCTTAAATTATAGTCAATATCTAGAATCATTGCACTAGCTAATAGTGAGGCAACATCTTAAAAATATCAACATCATAAAAGTAGCAACTACATAACTAAATAAACAAATTTCAATTCCTAAAATTCAAGGAACAAAAATCAAATATTTATGTTGTTTTGTGTCATAGGAACGAAGTCTATATCGTTCCATTAAGCAATATTTATATTTTGACCTAACGATCTAAAAGTCATTTTATTCGTCTGGACATGTATTTAATGGAACAATATCACGACACATAAGCAGAGGCAAAGAAAGGAATTGTTAGAACGTGAATTTTTTTGTTTTGTCTTCCAAAATTAAAGCATGTTAAAAGGTAGGATATTGAGGTGCAGTATTTTTCTACCCCATTTAAATATTTTTTCATGTTGATGAATTTTATACTCATGAAAGTTAAAGTCATGATATGATATGATATGCTATGATATGAATGATATGGTCATTCTGGTACAACAATATGATATGATATGAGCTCTTATGTGAGATGATATGATTTTCTGATACATATTTTAAAATTTTTATACGGGATCGCACCATTAATTTTTATATCCTACTGAGTATTCTCATATACTAACAATTTTCTCTACTCCTCACAGGTTAGATCGGGTCGTGTCGGAGCATGGCGATTCGATTAAGTGGTTGTGCCTCATTACGCTGGACGAAAATCTAGAATTTTAGCACGTAATTTTATTTTTTTAAGTTTATTGCAATAAACATTTATTTATCATTAAATTCTTGTGCGTGTTTATTTGCATAAGAATATATGCAGGTTGCATTTTAAATAAAGTTTGAATTAAATGTTATTCCATCTATCGATTTTCCTGTTTAAAAACATTTGATTATGATTTTATTGTCATATTCATGTTAAAGATTTTTTGTACTTTTCTGTAGTATCATTAGCCAACAATATATGCTACTCTCCTAGACTTTATGACACATATAGTCAAAACAATTGTCACATCACTTTTCATTTGTTTGTCTTGGGTGTCCAACACGTAAAAAAAAATTGGAAATTTAAACATTGGTGGTTGATTCACTTGATTGACAATCTCATGCATGTCTAATTAATGAAACCACAATAATGATATTAAATTGGTGAAGTTGATGCTATATTTCTACTCACTACAAAGGAATAAATAAAATATACCTTATTATCATTATTTTAATAGGAGTAAGAAATAAAAATATTGTTAGTTAATATTTTGTGCATACTATTTTTATTTTACCTATAGAGATTTCTATAACATTTAAGTAATTGATTATTTTAAGGAAAAATATTCTAACAGTACGAAATTTACAAATTTAGTTGCCAGCAATCCTACTTTATTTGACTTCTAAGGAAGTGTAGGTTAGAAATTTAAATTTATGAGTCATAAGTGGTTTAAAATAAAGTTGACATTTTTTACAAATAAATTGTGGTAACAATTCAAATCTTAATTTTTTTTATTTTTTATTTTTTGGGTCATTACAATGTACGGCATTTAAGCTTAAAAGTTATAGAGGCCTAAAAATATTTAAATTTCAATTATATTCAATATCCTTAATCGCCAAAGTTGCAAATGCACTAACTAGTAGCTACACAGCATCTTCAAAATATTGTGTAGTCTGCACAAAGACAACGAAGTATATTCACAATACCCTAAAATATTAACTACTCCTAACAAACAGAACAAAATAACTATATAACCATATCAAAACATCAATAAAAATAGCAATAAACATTCTAAGGATCGAAATCTCATGCCAATAACTCTGTAGCCAATTTCTTCTGTCATATCGGTATATGATCCAAGAGAATTTCATTTATATCCATCTTTACTTGAAGAAATTCCACGTACTTTAGAGTGAATATTCCACATTCAAATCTACAAAATAGTTGTGCAATTATATTGATTCTCAGTACTAGAATAATATAGTTCTAAAAAATGTGAAGGTAGTCAATCTTACCCATTTCTTTGTTGAGTAACATCTTTCATATTCATTTATTTGCACTCACCTATGCTATATTTTTCGTCACTTGAGACTTGCAATTTTATCAACAAAAGGAATGACCCCTTGTAAGGTTAGAATGTAAACTTAAAAATTATACGTTCCTCCAAATGGATTTGAAGTGTGAACCAATGGTAGTAAAGCACATAAAAACAAGTGCATATGTTGTATATATCAAATTACTTGCTTTATAACCAAATGTGAAATCATCATGAAAGATTATTCTTCATTTCACACATTACTTGATAGTTTAATAAGAGAAATTGAGTCCAATTCTAAAGCACAACCTCCAATTTTTTTCTTACAACTTGGAAGATAGAAAACATCAAATTTGGAAATAGTTAAACACAATGAGTCTCGAGCTACTTTCAACTCACATAAATATTTGGGAAAATAGTTAAAAACAATTAACCTCAAGTCACTCTCAACTCATAAACATATTTGAACAATAGGTCTATTATGCCATCTTCAACATTGTCTTTTACTTCCATCTCATCCCGTCAAATAAGAACTAAATTGCAGATAAAGTATGATATCAACTTTAAGCCTCATTTAGGTACATAGTACTATTGTAAAAGTTTGACACTAATGTGTAAGGTGAGCTTATACGGTGAAGTCGCCATTTTATATGCAAAATTGGACGAAATATAAATCATATGGTGAAGTCATTATTTTTACCAAAATCGACAACAATATTTCTAATGGTTTTTAGCAAAATGCAAGACTTTGTACTTCAATTGCTAGAAAAAAAAATAAATAAATAAAAAATAAAAAAATCTAATGTCCTTTTTTAAAACAAAACTAATAATTTTAGTCAAGTGGCGGCCAATTCTAAAGGCAACTTGCTTGAATTAAATATTTATTGATCCATGTTCTACTGCTTCAACCATACTCAATGTTGAGGATGACAAATTAGCATGTATTAGTTTAAAGTGAGAATGTTAATCAAGTTAGCATTTGATTTTGAAGTTGGGTGATAGTTGGGATTTTTGTTTGTTTCTCTGCTAAACGAACATCCAGTGGAGCCTATTATCTTAATCCAGGCAAGCAAGCAAACATGGGATACAACAAAGAAAGCAAAAGTTAAGGTTTCTCATTCTCCAATGTGATTTTCCTATCATATCATAAACGTTGATGGCATGGGGTAAATCATAGATTATAATGTAGTGGTGGCCGGTTCTAAAGGCGATGAGAAACCCACAAACAACATCATTAAAAGATCAATAGAGACTGACAGAAAATTGATGCTGCATAAGGAAAATCACCATACTGAACAACAATTTTGCAAAAAATAATAAATTCTAAAGAATTAGAAGTCGAGAAATGTTTGAGATTAAATCATTCACACACAATCAAATCGAATCGAAAATCAAGGAACAGAGCCCAACGGAATTATATCATGTTTCTAAATAAAACATATGATATAACCTCCCAAATTTAGTGATGAAGAAAATGATTTAATCCTTGTAGAAATAACTGGTAATGTTAACAAGAGGTGATTAACATATCTCCCTTTTTCGCACTCCTTCACAGTACGTTATTTCCAATTTTTATTGCAATGCCGTGTTTCATCAAGCATGTGGTTGGATTGTTTGTCGGTTGATGATTTGGTTGGTGAAACCCAAGATTAAGGGGAAAGGAAGAAGATAGATTTGATTTGAGAATAAAGATGTAAAAGTCCCTATTCAACTTGGAGATAAATGGTTTTGACATGAATAAAATCTCCAATTACTTCTTCAATTTGGTTTTACAATATAAGAATAAAGTGGTCTTTTTATATTTTTAAATACTTAAATTTCATTTTATTTTTGAGAATTTGGTCAAAGGTCATTTTGTTCAATTAAGATATTGAGGGGGGGACCATTTCAACTCATTCCCCTATAATAATAATAATAATAATAATAATAATAATTATTATTATTATTATTATTATTATTATTATTATTATTATTATTATTATTATCCCCTCAATATCTTAATTGAACAAAATGACCTTTGACCAAATTCTCAATATTATAATATATAGTAGTGATGAAGGGATAGTGACAGTGATTATGTACATGTTGAAGTCTCTGATTCCAAATCTTCGTTAGCCAGCCTGTTTTCTTAATTGATTATTCACAAGTTGCTAGTACACTCCAATAAATATGTAAATTAAATATTATTTACCCTCTTTGATTTCTCTTCTACTTTGAACTTTCTCATAATTTTGTTCCTCACCATGTCAAGGAAAAAGATTCGATTTTTGGGGTTACTCAAGTCTTGAGAAGCAGATAACACAACTTAGACCATTTTCTTGCAGATTTCGCAATTAAAAAATGGCTTATGCTGCTCTTCTTTCTCTCAGTCACAGCCTAGAGCACTCTCTGAAAAGTGATTCTCGATATCTGATTCTTGATGAGATACAACAAATTGCATCCCTCCTCGAAAATGTTAGTTTCTTACTAGATTTTCTTGATAATTCTTCACAAAAATACAGCAAAACAATAGGGTGTTTAGAGGATCGAATGAGAGATGCGGCTTACGAAGCAGCAAATACCATCGAATCTCACATTATGAATCGAATTATTGAACCATCTTCAGATTACAGAGAGAAGAGTTGCTCTTGTTTGAGAATACTTAAAAAAATCTTATGCAGTAAATCCCGGGAAACAAAAATTTTTTCCCATGTGAAGGAAGTAACAGAAGAAATTGATTCCATAACGAGAGAGATGGAGAAGATTGAGCAAGAAACAGACATACAAGATCTGCAGCCAAGGACTTGGTTTCCTGCTGGTTCATCAAAATCTGCTTCTGGTGGCAAGATTAATACGGTGGGTCTCGACGATGACATGATAGAGATCAAGAATCGGTTAACTGGAGGGTCATCCAATCTTGAAACTGTATCGGTTGTCGGGATGGGAGGAATGGGTAAGACTACTCTTACCAGAAAACTTTACGATGATGAACTTATTGTATATCATTTTTACATTCGTGCTTGGGTGACTGTATCTCAAGATTATAATTTGCGAGAAATGCTTCTAGGCCTTCTAGATTCCATGGAAAAACTCACTGACCAGATGCGTGAAGAGAACAACGAGACATTAGCTGAGATTTTGTACAAGAATCTAAAGGGTATGAGGTATCTCATTGTTATGGATGATGTGTGGGATGCCAAAGTTTGGGACGATATAAAACGATCATTTCCAAAAGACAAGAATGGGAGTAGAATCATGATGACCACTAGGCTAGATAACGTGGCTCGTTATGCAAGTTCTACTTCTCCTCCTCATCCCATGCGTTTTCTAAGTGATGATGAAAGTTGGAAACTGTTTTGTGAGAATGTCTTTGTAAACAATTTTTGCCCTCCTGAATTGGAGGAAATCGGGAGAAAGATAGCCCGAGGTTGTCAGGGTCTCCCACTTGCAATTGTTGTCATTGCAGGGCTTCTCTCCAAGTCCCCCAAAACACAACTACACTGGAAAAATGTTGGCGAGAGTCTGAGTTCAGTATTTGCTTCATATGATGATCAGTGCTTAAAGATAATATCTTTAAGTTATAGATATTTGCCTCATCATTTAAAAGGGTGTTTCTTATACATGGGAATTTTTCCCGAAGATTTTGATATTAGTGTCTCCAAACTTTTAAAGTTGTGGGTTGTCGAAGGATTACTAGAACCAGTGATATCTAAAAGCTTGGAAGCCATGGCACAAGAGTACTTTTTGGATCTTGTTGATAGGAATCTCATTTTGGTTCGTGAGAAGAGCTCGCTAGGCAAAATCAAAACGTGTAGAATCCATGATCTGTTACGAGATCTGTGTGTGAGAGAAGCTCAAAGGGAGAAGTTTTTTCAGGTGTCGAGTATGATACCTCATGGTATTTCTGACGGCATTATGCTGCACCGCTTAATTATTGACAAACCCAGTGAGCTTATTCATCATGCCAGTGTATTCTCTTCTTCAAAACACTTGAAGTCTCTTTTCAGTTCTGCTAGTTTCAGCTCACCACATTTTGCAAATTTGAGACTGCTTAGAGTATTGGATATCAAGGGTGAATATATCAATTACTTCCACCGAAATGATCTAATTAACATGTGGTACCTCGCTTGCTTCTGCAGTGGTGAAACTCTTCCTGCATCAGTGTACAAAATGCGAAATCTAAAGGTCCTAATTATTTATAATTACATAAATCTGGAAGTAGATATATGGAAGATGCCAGAGTTATGCCACGTCAAGTTGAAGAGAGGGAAACTTCCTGATCCTCTTAGTGCAGAAATTGAGGGGGGAAATTCTACAACTGTTTTAGAAAACCTACAAACACTTTCTCAAATAAAAGATTTCAGATGTACCGAGGAGATCCTTAAAAGAATTCCCAATCTCAAGAAATTGGGAATCTGTTATGTATTTGAACCAATGGATTCGGATCTCTACTGTCTCAAAAATGTTGGGCGTCTACATAAACTTGAATCATTAAATTGCTATATCTTTCCGTCACTATCATCATCTTTCCTGCAGAATCTCACTCTGCCACCTTCTCTCAAAAAGTTAACTCTAAGTGGCTCTCACATTCCTTGGGAAGATATGACGATTCTTGGTTCATTGCCCAACCTTCAAGTACTCAAACTGAAACGTAGTTCCTTTTATGGCCGAGAGTGGGAACCAAATGAAGGAGAATTTCTTCAACTAAAATTTTTGCTACTAGAAGGCCTTAATCTGGTGGAGTGGAGAGCTGACAATATCCATTTCCCGTGCCTTCAGCACCTAGTCCTTAAAACCTGCTATAGTATGGAAGAAATCCCTAGTGTTATCGGAGAAATCCCAACTCTTCAATCCATAATTTTACATAAATGTCGGGATTCACTCGTTGCTTCAGCAAAGCAAATACAAGAGGAACAACTGAGCTTGGGAATCGAGGGCCTTGAAATTCTTATTCATAGAAATTGATGATCGTATTTCGAAGCTTGACAGGATTTGCATTTCCTGCTCCAATGAAATGCCCTTTGCCATATTGTCTTCTATGTTTTACTTTTCCGTCCTTGTTTATTTCTCTCCCTCTCCCTTTTTTTTTTTAATAATTGTGTGATTAATGAAAATAAAATGTTCGATCATTTTCATTCGGGATTGTACTGTATACCATTATTATAACTATTCAACTTAAGTTTAGACCATCTATTACACACACTGGAATCACCTTCCCAGGTTGAAAATTGAACTTCTTCCTACTAATTTTCTAAAACGCTTGTGCATCTCCCATCAATATGACCAGAGATAACTTCTAAAGAATGCTTTTCAAGAACTTCATCCAATTAATTGAGTCAAAGCTTCATAATGACTTTATAAAAGTATATATGTGAGTGTTTGAATGGAAAGGAGTTCTTTTGATGATGATGCTGAAAGAAAAACTGAGATGTTGCTGGAAGTAAAAAAAATGATGTTGCTGGAGAGAAATTGAGATGTAAAAGAGCAGAAAGTTCACTTCTCTATATCAAAGACGTGTTTGTTTTTTTATATATACATACATACATCCCCTTTGATAAGTTTTCAACCACTCTACCTACTACATAAGACTTCAGATTTTTACACCATATATTCTACAAAAAGTACAGACAACTTTGCTTAAATTAAGTTAAAACCATACATTACAAAAGTCATTGCATCAGTAAAAGTCACTGCCCTGTACAGCAAAAAGATCATTATGAAACGACCCGTCCCAAATCACCCTAGTGGACCCGAAATATGACGTGCGCCGATGATAGATGCTGACTAGATATCAAATCCATCACCAAAGCTGACTATGAGTTATTTCAAAAAAAATGCAACAAAATCAAAAGCTTATATAAAATATAATGCGATAAGCCCAAAATATTTATTTCGTGCTTCATCAATATGAGTTATAATATTCAACATATCGTGTGGCTCTTATTCCGAAATCATTAGGCTCTTCCAGTTAAAAAGAATCAATTGCTACCTGTAGGAAAAATCGTGGAAAAATATATGAGTTGATAACTCAGTGAGTGGAGAAATTCAAAATAAATATACTTTTTCATTTATACATTTTTATTAAAAATCAAATTCATGTCATTTGATAATTCACAAGCTACCATCATGTAATTATAGCCAAAAAGTGAAATATTCACATAAGGTTATAAATATATCATCTTAAAATCATGATATAACATCACTTGATAACCATACTATAATCTCATCACATCAAACGTGCTGAAAAATTCACCAAAAATGTACCCTCTGACTGAAATATGTAATCTGCCTCTCGGGCTAAGAACTTTCGCTACAGGCCTTTGGCCCCCTCCGTGAACGAAAATCAGTCTCAAAGACCTCTCATAATCAATTTTAGAACACGGCCAAGGCCCCTCTGTGAACTACATGTACACGATCAAGACCAATGTCAGGTCAAGACCCTCCGTGTAGGATAAAACACGGCCAAGGCCCCTTTGTGAACTAGAAGAAGTATATAATTATGGGTACTTTTCTGGCCGATCTCAATATTGCATGTCTCATATACCAAACAAATTTCAATATCACATGTCTTACATAGCAAGTCAGAAATATGTCATAAATAATTTTTGATATTCCACATGTATCATAATAAAAGAGATTTTCATAATAACCATATAATTCGAACACATAAGTACATACTTTAACAATATACTTAATTTATAAATATTTAAAAAAAAATTTTTTCACTCACAGTACAATGTTTGCAAAATTAACTCGGTTGATAAGTTGTCCTGATATCTGTATAGCCGCTTGGAATATGATATAGTTTTTAAATCACTAAAACTAGACCACTTAATTCCTAATACGTTGGCAAAAAATTTCTTTTTTTTTCTTCTTCTCCTTCCTTTTTTTTCTTTTCTCTTTTCTCTCTTCTCTCTCTCTTTTTCTCTTTCTTTCTCTCCATTTTCGTCTCTGGTCCAATTTGTTCTCATCTTACTTGTGTGTATGTATATAATATGAATAATGAAGAAATGGCATGCAAAGTGCCACTTGTAATCCACCACTCAACCATTTTGATATCAAGTTAAGTCATCTAACTTTTAATAATTAATAAGTATTTCCCCAAATTTAAATTTTATCCATCTTAAACCTTCTAATGTTGTCAATTTGTAAAATAAACTCCCAAAAATATTTTGGTCAATTCAAGTCCCACTAAAATGACTTACTTCATTGAAGTCATTATTTGACTTTGACTAGTCAAAATTGACTTTGAATAAATAGTATTGACCTTTGACTAATAGGAAATGGGATGTAACACATTATATCAACACTCATCCTTGAACATTTTGCTGGAGACTCCAAGCATTGATCTTAGACATTCAAATCTAACTTTAGGAAGAAGATATCTGCAATCTGATTCTCTAAACAGCAATACTAAAGATTGATTTCTTCATTTTTCTCAGCATGATACTTGATCTTATGTGCTTTGCTTTTCTGTGATGAACTGGATTCTTAGACATAACTATAGCAGACTTATTGTCACAATAAATCTCAGTAGCCTTTTCTGGAATAAATCCCAAATCACATAAAAAATTTCTGAGCCAAATAGCTTGATTTGCAGTTGCTGCTGTGGCTATATATTCTGCCTCGGCAGTGGATTACACAACAACTTCTTGCTTTCTCGAATTCCTTGAAAATATGCCTGAACCAAAAGAGAAACACTACCTTGAAGTGCTCTTCATATCATCCACACTACCTGCCCAGTCACTATCAGAATAGCCCTTCAAACGTCCATCTACAGATTTTTTAAACCACACTCCAAAACCAGTAGTTCCTTTTAAGTACCTCAAGACTCATTTTACTGTTTTGAAATGGATATCACTTGGAAAATGCATAAACCTTGAAAGAAGGATAGTTGTAAACATCAAATTCGGCCTTGTTGAAGTCAAGTACAACAAGCTTCCAATTAAACTTCTATAAGTACCTTCATTCGCCTTTCCTGCCCCATGTTCTTTTGAAAGTTTTTCATTAACTCCAAGAGGCGCTTCAGTAGGTTTGCAATTTTCAATCTTAAATTTTCTCCGCTTACTTGTTTTGAGAGATGAATATAACATGGTCAGTTTGAGCTCATAACTCCAAGATCTATCATGTCAAATTGTAGCTTGATTTCATCCCTAAAGTTTTTCATCTCCATTTCATCTTTTCCTGTTAACAAGTCATCCATATATAGAGAAATTATTAAAACAACTGCATTTTCCCTCCCTTTTACATAAAGAGTGGCTTCATTTTGACTTCTTTGAAATCCTTTTTGTTGAAGATAACCATCAATTTTGCTATACCATGCTCTAGGTGCTTATTTTAAACCATAAAGCACTTTCTTCAATTTGTAAACTTTGTCCTCCTTTCCAGCAATGGTGAACCCCATCGGCTGCTCTACATATATCTCCTCCTTCAATGTGTCGTTCAAGAAAGCAGATTTAACGTCCAACTGATATACTTTCCAACTCCTCCTAGCTGCAAGTGCAAGTAATAGTCTTTTTGTTTCCAATCTTACAACTGGAGCACATGTTTCACAATAGTCAACTCCAATTTTTTGTGAATATCCCTTTACTACAAGTCTTGCCTTATGCTTGTAGATTGAGTCATCCGAATTCGATTTTGTTCTTTGAACCCATTTGACTCCAATGACTTGTTTATGAGTTGGTTTATCAATAAGCTCCCATGTTTGATTTTTTTCAATCATCGTTATTTCATCTTGCATAACATCTCTCCATTCTTGACTTTCAGCTGCTTCTTTATAACATGTGGGCTCAATCATAGCCATTTTACAATTTTCATAAATCTCGGCCAATGATTTAGTTTCTTGAACTGGTGATTCGGAAGAAGTAGTAGAAGAATAATCAGATTCTCTATCTGAAATTTTACGAATGGTTTCTTCATTTTTTACTGCAACTATATCTTGAACCTCAATAGTAGATTGCTTTTCAACCTTTGCCTGTTCCCAGTTCCAACTAGCATTTTCATCAACCTTCACATCTCTACTTACAACAATTTCTTCCTTTTCAAGGTTAAAGATTCTATAACCTTTTTATATCCCAAAAAAATTATTTTCTCTGCCTTTTCGTGAAGCTTATCTCTTTTCACATTAGGAATGTGAAAATAAATTACTGAACCAAAGATTTTGATGTGACTTGCTGAATGTTTTGTTCCAATCCACACTTCAATTGGAGTTTTATCTTGCATGGCCTTAGTTGGAAGCCTATTTTGCAAATACAAAGTGGTATAGACAGACTCCGCCCCGAATTTCTTAGGAAGTTTTTTTCCAAAAATCATACATCTTACCATTTTTAGCATTGTTCTATTTTTCCTTTCTGAAACACCATTTTGTTCAGGCGTATATGCCACTATTAGTTGCCGTTCTACACCTTCATCTTCACAAAATTTATCAAATTCTTTTGATGTATATTCCATTCCCCAATCTGACCTCAACTTCTTCAACTTGTAACTAGTTTGAATTTAGACCAAATTCTTGAATTTATTGAAAATGGAGAAATTTTGAGACTTTCTACTCATGAAATACGCCCATGTCATTCTTGAGTAATCATCAATAAAAAGAAGAAATATTTGTTTTCACTCAATGAAGGAGTTCGCATTGGTCCACAAATATCAGTGTGGACTAGTTCCAATTTTTCCCTAGCTCTTGCACCACTTGAGGGAAAAGAAAGCCTATGTTGTTTTCCCAATTGGCAACATTCACATACATCTTTACTCAAATTTATGAGAGGTAAATCTCTAAACATTCCCTTTTTACGAGAAAGTTTGAGTGATGACAAGTTAAAGTGACCAAATCTCTTGTGTCAAAGTCAAGTTTCATCAGCATTGCTTTTATAAGCATGTAAACTAAGGCAAGAAGACCAATTTAGTGGAAAGCTTTGATTTTTCACTTCAACATTAAATAGCTCTGCTCCACATGAATCATAAATCTTACAACATTTATTTTTAAACATCAATATCCTTTGTCCATCATTTGAGCCACACTCAAAAGATTTTGATCCAAATTATGTATTAACAAAACATTTGAAATAAGCTTAGTAGCTTTACCTTTATGCACAGCAATAGTCCCTTTGCCTTCAGCATTAACATATTGTGCATTCCCCATCTTGACTTTGATCTTGACTGAAGTGTCCAAAGTAATGAATAGATTAGCATCAAATGTCAAATGATTGGTACACCCACTTTCAATATACCAATCTATGCTCATTCTTGACTGTCATTGTTGTTAATTCATAAAAAAATGTTCTTCTTGCTTGTCAATAAAATGAGTTGTTTGAACTTGTTTATCTCCTTGGCTTTGTGGAGTTTCTTGATTTTGTTTTATCCTGCAATACCTTTCAATATGCCCAAAATTTTTACAAAACCTGCATTGCTTCTTGCCTTTTGTGCCAACAATCCTTTTCTAGGTGATTTGTTCTGTTGCAAATTTTGCAAGGTGCATATTTTCTTCTTCTATCAACTTGTTTTGTGGTTGCCTCAACTCCTTTACGTTTGTAATCTTTTCCAGCAGCTTGGTTCCTTAAAGGTTGGTTTCTTACAAGAAATGTATTTGCTTTATGCCTCACTTGGAAAGTGTCTTCAAGAGACTCCTCAGTTCTTTTACTAGTTCTTTGTTCATATGCTTGTAGAGACCAAATAACCTCAATCACAGTCAACTTGCTGGGATCCTTTAATTCTTCAATAGCTAAAATTTTTTATTCAAACTTTTCAGGCAAACTAATCAAGATTTTTTCAATTATTCTTTCATTAGAAATTTTTTCTCCATGAAGCTTCATCTGGTTCACAACCTCTATGAGTTTTGAAGAATACTCCTTGATAGAATGTTCTTCAGTCATCTTCAACATCTCAAATTCTCTCCTCAACATTTGCAGCTTCATTGTCCTAACTCTTTCTGTTCCTTGTAACAAATCCCATACCTTTTTTGCTGTGGTTGCAGCAATTATTGGAAAAATATTTTCTGATACAGCAGAATGGATGATAGGAAGAGCTTTACAGTTTTTGGTAAAGTCTTCCTTTTATTGTTTGATTTGTGCTGTAGTTTGATCTTGTGCCTCATTTTCAGGCTCAAAACCCTTTTTTACAGTGTCCCATAGATCATAAGCCATCAAGAAGGCTTTCATCTTTACTACCCAAAAATCATAACTTTCTCTAGTGAAAATAGGAGGTTCGGGCAAAAAAACACTTGTTGTTGCCATGAAAACTATTTTCTCAGGCCTTTAAGATCATAAATGCTATGATACCGTGTGAGTGTTTGAATGGAGAAGAGTTCTTCTGATGATGATGCTGAAAGAAAAACTGAGATGTTGCTAGAAGTAAAAAAAATGATGTTGCTGGAAGTAAAAAATATATATATACAATTGGAGAGAAATTGAGATGTAAAAGAGCAGAGAATTCACCTCTGTATATCAAAAATGTGTTTGTTTTTTTTATACATACATACTTCCCCTTTGATAAGTTTTCAACCACTCTACCTATTACATAAGACTTCAGATTTTTACACCATATATTCTACAAAAAGTATAGACAACTTTGCTTAAATTAAGTTAAAACCATACATTACAAAAGTCATTGCATCAATAGAAGACACTGCCCTATACAGTAAAAAGGTCATTATATCAACACTATATTATTTGTTTATTTTATTTTATGGACTGTAAAAAAATAGATAGAACAAATTGACAGGTGCCTTGTTTTTTTCCCTTAATAAGTTCTCAAATACATGACAACAGACATCTATTTACAAGATGCTCTGAATTATAGATCTTGGTAAGCCTGCCAAAAAACCCTTGCCAAATGAAAAAGTTCGATTTTGAAAAATATTGAAGCTTAAAATTTTAGATTGAAATTAAGCCTTGGAGAGGGAAGACTTGACATTGTTATCCATAAGCCGAATTCCATCATTGCAATGCCTTCACAACCATCTATTCGAATTTGGATTGCATAACGCTCTGTGTCCTATTTGCTTGTTTCCCTAAACTTTTAGTTGACTGCTATCTCAAACATATGAACTCTTGCAAACATTAGTTGCTCTAGAAGGTTACGATTTCCCCTGATCCTCCCGATCAAAGAGAAGATTCAGATCCTAATTAAGCCTAAACTACCACTACAACCTGGAAACTGGTCATTTCCATCCTGTATAAAATGTATCGATAGGAAGGCAATGGTAAACCAACATCATTTATCACATTCCATCATTTCAAGTACTAAAATCTCCCAATTATAACTATTCCTTCAATAATGATACAGTACTTGTTACCATAATACATTAGCTATATATAATTATGAGAGGTAAATTTGTTGCTAATTTGTATAGACTAACAAGTAAGGCACTTTCAAGTGGATCTGCTAGGCTGGAGTCTGGAGTCGTACTGAAGAGACTCTTGCTAAAGATTGTGAACTGGCGAAAATGGGTATTGTGGCTAGTGATAAGAAGGATGAATATCGAAGTTTGAATACGTCAAAGCGTAAGGTGAGGTTTGGCGATTCTTTGAATTCAGTTCGTGTCTACTAAAGTTGATTAGGCTATGTTGGTACTTTTCTATTTGTCGCAAGTGTGCGATGTCAATTAAACAAATAGTGAAGTGAATCTAAGAGTTAAGATTATTAGTCCCTCAAGTACTATCTGTCTAACTAATGGTTTAACTATGCCTAACTTGTACTCGAGTAAAATGATGTAGGTTCAATAACTTTAGAAGGTAAGCAATGCTTGAAGATATTTTCTATAAGGTATAAGCATTTGCCGCAACATTTGAAAGGGTGTTTCCCCTATATGCGACTTTTCCCAGAAGATTATGATATACATATGTGTCCAATATTGTCAAGTTGTGGGCAGCTAAGAGCTAAGAAGCATCGATATTTGTAAACTTATTATGTGCCCGTATCCAATACATATCCAAGCTCTGATACTCTTCTATACCCTTCAATACGTACCAAATACTTGTTTTTTCAATTATTTTATATATTTTTATGTTTTTTAAATTTTCAATACATATCTAATACTTTTCTTTTAATTAGTTTATGTTTTTGTATGATTTTCGATATGTATCTGATACTTAATGGTTCACAAACACTTTTATTACAAAAATGTTGCTTTGTATCTCTAGTGCTAAAAGAAATTGAAGTACGCACTCTTTTGTACACTCTGCAAGAAGGAATAAAATAACTGTATAAGAAGTTGAAGAATTGATTTTCATTCATAACAATTTGCATCTTCCAAAAATCGGTGGATTCATCTTTATATTTTGGTCTCTTCTCTTATCTTCTTCCATTGTTTTTCCTATGCATTTGTGGCTTGTAAATCATCACCGTTATCTTATCCTTTGTGAGTAAGATTGAGAAGCAACTGAGGTAAATATATTGGTTGTGGGTTGGAGCCGTTTGAATTGGTTGGTTGATAGAGAAAGGTAATGTGAAACTAAGCTCGAAAAATTTCGACTTGACAATCCTTTGAACGAGCTTTTGCGACAAGTTGTAAAGCCAATGAGATGTATAAGCTTAGATGATATGTTAGAAGAGTACCTCTTGGGACTTGTTAACATAAATCTTAATTTGCTGAGTGAGAAATGGTCCAGCATAAATATTAAGATATGTAGTATTCATATTCTCTTGCAAGACCTATGTATAAGCGAAGCTCTCAAAGGCAGAATTTCTTTCATATCACCAACAATGGACTTTCCAGGAAAAGGAAAAGGTTGACTTTAGTTGGTTTCTACCTTCCTTAGGAAACTATAACAGTTGTTAGTTGATTGCCCAACCTAGGGGTTAATTACATGAATGGTTACTAAACTTTGCCATATGTTATTACTTATATCTTAACTTAAAAATGTTTCTCAATGGTCGCTGAAATTTGTTAAGTGTTACTATTTTATAACTGAACTCAAAAATGTCTCCATGGTCACTGATCTATGTACCGTGTTACCCATCCATCATTTAAATAGAAAAATCTGATAAGTTTAACAAATGGCATTGACTCATCGCCACAGTAAATAGGCGAGAAAATAGAATTTCTTTCTTTGTCTTTAAAGAAACAAAAAAAATAGTTCATGAATGTTTGGAATCCATATTTTACGCGAATCTTTTACAAGATCAATTCGGATTGGCTCTGGTTCATGATTTTCTTTTAGTCTTTCTGGGATCGGGTCTTATACTAGGAAGTCTAGGAGTAGTATTACTTCCCAACCTTTGCGAAATTAAAGTAGGCGACAAAGTAGCTGGAAGACACAAAAATAAAGGTATCATTTCCAAAATCATAACAAAAAATGCACTGTGGAAAAATCGATAGTTTCTTTTTTAGTTCTGAAAATGAAACTAAAATCCAAATAGAAAAATAAAAAGAATGTAAATAATCTTTCTTCTTTTTGTTGTTGCTTGAATATTTTATATTCAATTGAATATAATAAATAACAAGCATTGTTGTTTTCAAATCAAATAAATCATTATTTATCTATAATTCGTTGTAATGAAAAAAACGCTCGGCTAGGTACTGACCAAGCCACGCCATCAGAATAAGAAGGGCCTTTCAAACAAAATCAACACAAAGATGTCTTCTTCTTTTTTTTCTTTTTCTTTTTTTATTTATAAGCTCGTTCGAGCCCTTCCTTTATCTAATCTAAAAGAAATTTCTGATAAGCAATGACAGTTGGGTCCCATAGTCAGTAGCTACATATGGATAAGGGGGCATGGAATACATATGGTGAGCTACAACAATGGTTAGAGAGCCTAACATAGCTAGATGCTTGGAAGCGATCTGTTTGGTAACCTTGGTCTTCAGGATGTGCTTTACAAAACAACTGATTGATCTAAGTTCATGCAATTTATCATTTATTAATATTTTCTTTTGGTCAATTGCAAAATAAAATCTACTGAAAGTAAAATAGTTTCTCGTGTTTTTTTATTTAACTACACGTGGTAAACATATGTCTTATTCAAATTTTGATTTGAATAACAACATTGGCTAACCAATATAAAGCGAGTATTCGTTGACTTTTCTTCAAATTCGATAAATGTTGGTTGATCGTATATATAAATATGCAAATGTTCCTTACCATTATGAATAGCAATTGTATGGCCAATCATTGTGGGTATAATGGTTGATGCCCAGGACGAAGTTACTATTATTTATTTTTCTGCTTTTTTATTAAGCTTATCAATTTTTCTTAATAAATATTGACTACAAATAGATTTTTTTTTTTTAGTGAACGTACCACAACTTCCGCCATTTTTTTTTTTGTTTCTGTAAAGACAAAGAAAAAAATTATATTTTCTCACCTATTTACTACAGCGACGAAGAATCAAATTATCACTATATTTATTCCTTTTTCTACTTCTGCTTCCAAGTGTAGGATAACTCCAAGGGGTTGCTTTTGGGGGATAGAGGGACTTGAACCCTCACGATTTTTAAAGCTGACGGATTTTTCTTTTACTATAAATTTCATTGTTGTTGGTATTGACATGTAGAATGGGACTCTATCTTTATTCTCGTCCTATTAATCAATTCTTTAAAAGATCTATTAGACTATTCGACATTTTGAGGCAATTATAGACCCTGGGAGAGAATTCTGATTGGTCAATAAAAATCGATTTCAATCCTTTTCTTTTTCTAAGTTTATCCTAACAAATCCATCAGATAGACGTCAAGTGGTTGATATTATCCCTCCAGGACCAGAACTTCTTGTTTCAGAGGTCGAATCCATCCAATTTGATCAACCATTAACGAGTAATCCTAATGTGGGCGGATTTGGTCGGATCACCTCTAGTAAGAAAAAGTATTTTGTTTTGGTTCGACTTGTCGTCACATATGAAATAACTGACACTATAAATTTAGCAATACTTTTTCCCCTGGATTTGTTGCAAGAAAGGAATAATGTGCAACTTCGATTTATTGATCATATAAATCTCAAATTCAGACATTTTCATTTCTTTCAATTATGTGGTTATCGTTGGAATTTGACTAATCAACAAGGAATCCAGTTTGTTTATTCCACTTAGATTGATGAAATACATTAAAAATCCAATATATTTTTTTCCAATTCTTATTATTTAGCCTACCCTTTAGACCTTTTCGAAGAAGTATTTGTTACCAACATGTTAACTAATCGATTACGATAAATTGGATCGGGTT